ATTTTCTCCTAATATCAAAATGTTTGCCTGTGCTAGACAAAGTGCCTGTGCTTGGCCACTTTTTCTTTCCTTCTTGACATAATCATTTCTCAGATTGTATTGAATTAAAATGTAGAATTTTATTTCAATTCCTTTGTTACACTATGCACCTTATTTCAAGAATTTTTAACATTGGCACTAAACTTTATAGTCACATTAACAATTTAGAGAATTTATAGTGCCTTTTACTGAGTTTATTATTCAGAATATCTGTATTTGGAGGAATCAGGGGACTTATTACTGTAACTGAATCATTTTTTTTTTCAGAAAAGGATGGTGGATGGTATATTTTCTGAGCCCAATATGTATTATTATAGAACATAAAACTAATGATGAATAATTTGGGTATTTATATCACCTTCCTGTGAGGAGAAAGTTTCAAGTGAAGGCTCCACACAGTTACCAACCTTTAAATCTTGATTCAGGAAAGGGAGTACAAGAGTGACCAGGGCTGGAACTTCTGGCTCATTTTCCTAGACACGGTATTGCTTAGGGAAGGGACAGAGACGGGGTGGGAAATGTAAAGGGAGGTACAGGTGAGAGAGATCTTTCTCCCCAAGGACTTGTTCCCTTTACTGGGTTCTGGTGAAAAAAATAGAGAAGATTCCATTATTTTGTGGTCACTTATCAAGTGCTTTGTTTCTACAGTTTCATTCCCAGCTTAAATTTGCAGAAAGCCTGCTATGTCCTACCTATGCCTGGAAGGGGCTGGACAAAGGGTAACGAGCCCTATTTTTCTGGAGTTTAGGAAGAGTCCAGCCAGAATCTCCATATAGGAAACCTGCTGATACTATTTTAAATTAAGTTATTCACAGTGTTCATGATGTGGGTATATTTAGTAGTTATATTGAAATTTGCAACCCAAACACTAATGGAGTATGTATAAACAAATCATGGCAATAAAAATCATTCTCATCTTTTTTTTCCAAAACAAGTAATAAGAGAAAACAGTTTTATTAATTCACGAAATATTAAGAGAGATAAAATATTAAAATATCTATAGAAAGGAACTAATCAGGCCAGGCACAGCAGGGGATGAAGATAAATAAGGAAAATATAGTCATCAATTCTCATTTTGATCAGAAAGGCTGCTAGACGTCACAGGTGGGTCTACTAAGAGACAGAACAAGGACACAAATCCTCCACTCTGCTTATTGCACCTTGCAACCAAAGGACCCTAGAATAAATTTGGCCCTAAAAATGGGTTTCTTAATTTATCTGTAACAGGAATGAGAACAAATTGATTTAGTTTCCAGAACGAAAATGGAGCTATGTTTTTAAAAAGAATAACGGTACACATATAGTAATGACATTCATTGGGTGTGGGACAGGTGGGAGGGGCGAGGAGGGGATGGGTATATACACACCTAATGGGTGTGGTGCGCACCATCTGGGGGATGGACACGTTTGAAGCTCTGACTCGGGCGGGGCAAAGGCAAATATATGTAACCTAAACATTTGTACCCCTGTAATATGCTGAAATAAAAAAACATTTCCTAGTAACCGCATTTAAAAAAAGTATAACTAAAAAAAAAAAGAATAATGGTACAGATTGGGTGCTTTCTTAAATATTTTGAGCAAATATGCTTATCTTTCTTCTTAAAACTAGAGAATTTACCTCTTAAAATGACTCATTTCCATGTAACTCCCTCCTATTTTTCCCCCCAGATTAAAGATTGATGACGAGCTTGAAGTATCTCAAGATGCAAACAAAGAGAAAGTGTTACATTAAGTCACATTGAGTGATCTTGTGCATTTGAGATTTAAGAATGTGTAGAACTCTTAGATAAGCATTTAGTGAGAAACACCCCTCTGATGTGTAAAATAAATGGTGATTTTCTTTTCTAACTACAGACTAAGATGTAGCAGTCTTCCCTGCAGTCCTGAATTACGATGACTGTGGGTCCCAATTAATCTTTGTTATACATGAGGCACAAAAACAAATGTACAGGGACAACACCTAGGCTGGCTTTATCTATCATGCAAAACTATTTAATGCTGTCAGCACTTTCTGCTACAGTGGCTACTGAGCAGGCTTAATTACCAAAGGGCCAATGCAAGACCAATTCCGTCAGAGCGTCTGGTTCTGGTTGGATTCTTTTTCTGCAATCAATGGAATCAAACAAGCTTTGCTAATATTGGTGGATCCTTGTTTAGTCGACCTTGTTTAGGCAAAACAATGAAGGCTATGGCTTGTATGCAATGTGCTGACATTATTGTAGCATTACACTCTTGATGGAATTATTTTGACAGTTTATGGTACCAAAGGTGTGTAGATATGTGTATACATATATATGTATATATATTTTAGGCTCCATTTAGACATTCCTGTCTGAAATAGCACCTCCTTTCCCTCTTCCTTTACCCATCTTATTCTGATTATTTTCAGAAATTATATATCATATAATATAGTGATTTTATGATAAAATATAGTACTTTTTTGTCTGCTCCCCCATAAGAATGTAAGCTCCGTTGAGTGCAGGGACTTACTTTATCATCTCTACCTGCAGGACTATGCCTGACATGTCATAGGTATCCAATAGAAGGTTAACATGGTCTAACTACTGTAATTTTGTTGTAATTTTATATAAGGTCAGCATGATTTTGCAGAACCACTTATTTATAGCAATTTTTAGAGATACAAAAAATGAACCGGACATTTGGTGTTTTACTAAGAGGTCCTTGGTAACCTCTAGGAAGTACGTTAGCATTCTTCGGTACCATTATCTAGGAGTGCTACCGAATGACTTCTGGAATTATACTCACAAGATACAGGAGGCTAATGTGGAAGGACTTCCAAGGCTCAACATTAATATTGCATATCCCATTTCAACTCTTTCTAGCCCGCCTAGCATGGTTTGAAACTAAATTTAAATGTCCTTAACGCTGGCTATCTCTTTCTCTCTGACTCTACGTGTCTCTCTCACACGCACATATGTATGTACATAGCAATTTTCTCTTTATTAAGACAAAAAGATAGGAAGACCCCCCTTTCCCTTCTCCTTCCACTCCCTGTGGCCCCAAAGTAGACTCTCACAGATTCAGACACGGTGGCCCCGCAGACCTACCCAGCGACTAGATGTTAAGAGCTCACTTTGAGCCTTGGCTCAGCTGTGCTGGCAATTTCCTTCCCAACCATGACAGACCCAACAGGCCTGTTGAGCTTGAGAACTTCACCATGATAAGATTTTAAGTTGCATGACAGAAGCAATTTCAAACATTTGACTGCAGTCCGTAGCCAGTCTGTAATCTGTCTGCTGTGTGTGTGTGCACGCAAGCATGTGCTTGAGCGTGCGTTTCAAGACCTCCCCTTACTCCTGCCCCTCAGAGCTTCTCATGGTCACTCCACCTCCACTCCCCACATTGTGCCATCGGAAAGGAGGTTGGCTTGATTCCTCCTACAACCCCAGACAGAGGTGAGGGGGTTTCATTACATTTGACTCAACTTGATTTTGTTAGGGAGACAAGGTTAGTAAATTAGGATATTCTTCCAGCTGGATTTTTTGAGCAGTACAGAGTCATCTTTTGAATCATGAGCACCTTCAGCATCTAAACTGTAAACCTACCTCACTATGATCGTGGCTTCTTTTTTCCCAAGGGAGAAAAACTACCTCAGAAGGAAATTCTTTTTTATGCACAGGATGAACTCTGCTTCATCTGATTTATTCCAATCTCCAGTATTAGATCAACACAAACTGACCACTAAGAAGTAGTCACACACAAAGGTATCCATCGTGAATGTATTCATTTGTGAAAACAACAGTATACTGTGCCAGAAGACGCAGATTTTGTATAACCTGTGTCATGGGCAATATACAACTCCAGGCAGTCACCAAATCTTGTTTGTCAGACAACTTCTATAGCAGTGGTTCTCAACTGGAGTCAGTTTTGTCAATCACGGCAATATCTGCAGACATTTTGGTTGTCACAAGCAGAAATGGAAGAGGGGACTGTGCTAATGGCATCTGGTGGGTAGAGACCAGGGGTGCTACTAAACATCTTCTGAGGCACAGGGAAGTCTTCCGCAACAAAAACCTACCCAGGCCAAAATGTATACAGTGTAGAGGTTGAGAAACCCTGCTCTGTACCGACAGATAGGAATCTAAAGCACGAAAAGTCAGCATCTATGTCAGCTACTATGCTTGGAAGCATAGTAGCTTAAGTGATGCCAAACTGATTCTCCTCTATGGCTGTGAGTCTTGGACATATCACTAAGAACTTCAGTGTTTCAAACTGTGCTTAATAAAATGACTCTGCAGGATCAAACAGATGGGTTTTAGTCCTATGTCGGTCCACTGGTTACAGAATTTGGAGTGCTATTCCACTGCTCTCCTAGTAGAACAAATGTTCTGGTTGAACTACAAGGAAGAAGAAATCCAGGAAGATTCGCCAAATCTTAATGCCAGTGACATCTGTGTGAAGAATGTTAGAAAACTTGGGGATGGATAACTCAGGTTAGGTAGTGGGTGATCTGCAGGCTAGGATTATGCCAAAAGGCTTGAGGAGCAGCAGGGACATTTGCAAATCCACAGACTGTCCTCCTGATTGTGAGCACAAAAGAAGGTTGTCAGAGAGATATAGATCAGCTCTCCGGCAGAGGAGGCGGATCTGTGGGGCTCCATCCAGTCCCAGCTTTGATGCTAGCTGTGTGATTCTAGGTAAGTGTCAGATCTTCTCTAGAAAACCAGGAGCTGCCTTCCTCTCCCAGCCTAATATAATGAGAATAAAATGTGAAATAAACAAATGACCATGGTAAACAAACAAACGAATAAAACTAGGAGCCGGCCTGTGCTCTGCAGGACCCCCTCCAGCTCTGCCATTCTCACTCGGTGGTTGCCTCGCCACCTGCTCTGGTACACAGGGATTGAGACGACTCTAGAACAGGATGCCAGTGAGGTACATTTATTAATTTGCAATAGTGTATGGTAAAGAAAATAAAGAACAAAAAGCACACATGCAGGTTTGCATAAATGGGAAAACCTTTAATCTGATAATCATTCATTCAACAAAGAACTACTGAGCATCTCCTCCAAATAAAGCATAAAAAAGATCCAGTATTTTTCTTTTTAAAAATGTGCTTTAAATGAACCTGAGAAGCTCTGTGAAGGTTTATTTCTTAGGATTTACAGCAGTTAACATTCAGTTCCACCAGTGAAGTTGCTCACTGCATTCCACACAGGACAGATGGGTCTCCTTTAGCTAATAATCCTTCCAGGTGGTGCTGACACAGCACATATTTGAATATTCCTCTCTGTGGGAAATAGAGATGTAACTTCTATACTTATCTTAACCTGCTGACAACCTGCTACAATGACTTTCTTCACAGCCCTGGGTTTTCAAAGATCTAAAGTTAACTCTTCTCTTAGAGAACATACGCAAACAAGCAAACTCAAGACTTCGATGCCATGCTCTCACTCTGTAGCTCTGGGTCTTGTCTTTGTAATCGAGGCCCACTGAGCTGACTGTTGGCCTTCGGTGTGCTCCGTGCTGGAGAGCTGTCTGCCTTGGTTCCAACAGTTACATCCTCAAAAAGGCCACCTGGAAAAGGAAGAAAAGCCCACAAAGCTTTACTTCTATGACATAATGAAATGGCTGCATGCAAATCGTATCAGAATCAGGTCAGCCTGGTCAATAAGGATGCTGATCTAAAAAGAAAAATGACTCCTCGTGCAGCCAGACATTGCATTTTATAGCAAGAGCCAATTAGTCTTTTTTTAATGAACCATATAGTAATTAAAATGATTCACATGCACTTTAAAGGTAAAAAAATAAAGTTTTAATTGACACTAAAGTTATATTGCCATGAAGTAATCCAGTCCTCTTTCCCATTGGTTCACAACTACTGATTTGGACTTTCCATAAGCAGAATTCTAAGTCTGGAAGATTCCTAGGCAATTCCAGGTCCTCATCACTGTCGGTAATTACACCAGTCCCTCCCCAGGTCATGCGGATACTTTTAATCACATTCAATTATACTGGGTTTGTCAGTAGCAATTCATCTTAAAACCTAGTGCTTAAAAAATTTAATTCATACAGGTTTATGTGCAAAATATTTTCAGACTGTTTAATGAGGCCCAGATCAAATGCAGCTCTTTTCCCAATAGTTCTGGCAATAGTGAAACAAACAAAACAAAGTCAATCATGAATGTTTAGAAAGTTTTAGTTCAGAGGTGACAATTAATTGGGAACTGGGACAACATGAGGAAGATAGCCAAATGTAAAGTAGAGATGAAGATGGCGAAGTGTGGGAGGCTTGGGGAGCTCATAGTAGGCCTTTTTGGGGGGGAAAGGGTAAGCAACAGAAGTAAAAATATTCTGCTCTTGGAGATATAGCTCTTGTCAACAGCATCAGGAAAGGTGGTTCCTAAATCCCCAAATGCAGTCAAAGGAGGCATGTATTTAATGATTCCTGTTAAAGGGAAAGGAAAAAGAAAGGGTCAAGGTAGGGCAGAAAGCATCTGCTTTATGTTGAGTAATTCAGAGGGATGTTACTCTTCAGAGAGTGCTGGTGAGAAAGGCACCCGCTGAGTCGCCATATCAACTTCCTGCTGAGTTTCTGTATCAAGAGAGCACCAAAGTGGAAGGAGCAGGCAAAGAAGAAAGGTTAAAATTCCTAAACAAAATGTAAACACTTACAAGCCTCAAGGGTTCATTGTTCAAATGAGGTAACAGTTACGAAAAATCCATGTTTCCCCTGTCTCTCAGCTGATGACAGATATTAGAAGCCCACGAACGTACCAGATGAGCAGGGGGTGCTCAAGAGAGGCTAGTGGGGCCCGTCAGGGAATGATTACAGGATTACAGGGGAAGACAGACCAGAGGTCCTTACGTCTGAGTCTGACTTTGGGCCCAGTGTGGGTGGTGTCCCTGGCAGGTGACATTCTGCTTCTATGAAACAGTTTACAGGGGCAGAAAGCTCTCAACTGTGCCACGAAGACAATGCCACTGCTTATAGTCAGAAATGGATGAAAACCAGTTATTTCTTTTTTAACTCTGAAAATTGCTATGTCACAGAGTATTCAAACCAGTACTCAGCATAAAGATAACACTGATAAATGTCATCATGAAAATGATTAAGAAATTTAGCTCTGGAATCATACAGAACAGTGATTCTCAACTGGGGGTGATCTCGCCCACCCGGAGACATTCGGCAGTGAGTGGAGACATTTTTGGTTGCCAAAAATGGTTGGGAGGGGTGCTGCTAAATATACCACGATGCGCAGACAGCCCCCAGAGCAAAGGTTTATCAGCTAGCCTCTTTCAGCCTTTCCTCATCTGCAAAATGGGAATTATAGAAGGACCTGTTTGAAATTTGTAAAACACTTTATAGTATATTAAGCCTATTTTGACTCCTTTCTTTCCTCCTCAGCACAGCCCTACAATTTAGTCAAGCAGGCATTTGAAACTTTGTATTACAAATGGGAAAAAAAAAGCTCAGAAAAATTAAGTAACTTGCTCAGATAGCTATGCTGTTAAGTGACAATGGTGGGCTTAGAAAGAAACTGATTTCTAATCCATGCTTTTCCCACCATAACTTTACAGATGAATGAGAGAAAACTATAGAGGCTTAGAGACTTTCAATCTTTGGTATTGCCTCAAATCACAAAAGATTTATTTTGCATGCCTGTGAATATGAACTCAAAACAGAGAACAACTACGTAAGAGGCTAAGCTGATTAAATTAATGCAAAATGGAGCCCTCCCCCAACCAAAAAACAGACAGTTTAAAACTTGGCCTAGTATGTCCTTTTTTTTAATCTCTAGTTTTTACAGTCTCACCTGCTGAGGACATTATGTATTTTTCAGGACTTAACAAGAAACTGCAATCATCCTTAGGGAACAGGTACTGTACCAATGCATTTTTAAAAAATTTTAAAGCACGATGTGTTAACATATTTCAAATGCTGATTTTGTGTTCCCTACCATTTATCCATGACAGGAAAAATTGCTTCCCATAACTGCTATTTATTTTAAGAGAGGATAATTTTATTTTGTTCCACTACACTGAGAAAGACCTCTGTATTTCATCTTTTTAGTTTTATTCGCCAAAGTAAAAGAGTATATGAGTACAGCTGCAGCTAGAGGCTCTGTTGGTTGTTACA